GTGGGCGTGGGGGGGGGGGGGGGGAATCCCTGCAGGGAGCCGTGACTGACAGTCACCGTTCACTGCAGGGAGATGATCGAGAAGTGAGCAGATCAGTGCATGTTTCTGCTCACTTCCCGATCTATAGAGCCAATGTGTGGCAGCTTCTTTGTCACAGGTTGGCTCTAACTATAAGTAAGAGGGGAAGTCACTCACCTCATAGTTCTCCTTTAAAGTCAGAAGGTGATAAAAATCACTTACAATGGATGCTGCTGCTTGATGGTTTAAAAATATTAGTTTCTTGCAGAATCAGCTGCTCCCCTGAGCACTGGCCCTGATATCCTGTTTTAGGGTGGCTCCTTTCCCTTGCAGGGTCCTATGGAGCCAACCTTGTGTGTGCTAGTAAGCCGTGTGTGTCTCCACAAACACACAAGCACAGTGAGGCAAGACACTCCCCAGCTCCTTGCTCTCCCCAACCTCTTTCTTTCTCCAAGCTAGTAAATGGACAGCTGCTGGAGACTGCTCTGTCCCTTGTGATCTTGTACAGGACAGGAAATTCAGGGAAAAAGAGCAGAGAGAGTTGGAGCTGTTCAGAAACATGATGACTGTAAATGTCTGGGCAAACATGTAGAGAAATACTTTGCTGGGCAATGTATATTTGTTTGATCTGGATTCGTTATTGAAAAATGTTTGGCAGTTTAATATTACTTTAAGCCCTCATTCACACTGAGCATTTTGTAGTGCTTTTTCTGCTCGAAGAAACACTAACAAAAGAATGAATTCATTTCTATGGCCATGTTCACATCTGAGAGTTTTATCAATTGTAGCAGAACGCCTGTCGCTTGAAGAAAGTACATTGAGCTTCTTTTTGGCAGATTCTGCGCTTCGTGGCCCCATAGACTTCAATGGAAACTCTCAAAGATGCCTGTTTGCTGCATTTGTCCATTTACATCTGCTCGCAAAAACACGTGACTGTATGTATGCACGTTTTATGTGCTAAAGCGTGCAAGAATGTGCTACACATGATGCTGTTGCGCAGGTGTGAATGAGGGCTAGGGTATGTAATTTATCAGTGCCGATACCAAGTACTTGTACTCACCCAAATGCTCCGATGCCTAGCCCGAGACCTGAGTTTCAGGAAGCTGGGCAGTGAGAATTACACGCTGCCCGGCTTCCTGGTTGGTCTCAAAGCCGACTCCATGCTCCCTTGTCACTTGGTGACGAGGGAGCATGGAGCCGGCCAATCGGGTAATGTGTAATGACTTGCTGCCTAGCTTCCTGATTGGACGGGTGCCAATCAGGAAGCCGGACGGTGAGTCATTACCCGCCCCCCGGCTTTCTGATTGGCCAGAAAGCCGACTTCATGCTCCCTCATCACATGGTGACGAGGGTGCATGGAGGCGGCTTCCCGGCCAATCAGGAAGCTGGGCGCCATGTAATGACTCTTTGCCCGGTTTCCTGATTGGCCAGCATCTCAACCTATCAGGAAGCCGGGCAACGAGTCATTACACGGCTGGTGATGAGGGAGCATGGAGACCGCTTCCCTGCTAATCGGGAAGCCGGGTGGCGAGTCTTTACGCGCCGCCCGCTTCCCGGCTAATCAGGAAGCCAGGTGTTGAGTCATTACCTCGCTTCCTTAATGGGACTTCCAGTATCGGTATTCAGTATTGGCGAGTACCGAAAAAAAATATTGGTACTCGTACTTGATACTGAAAAACCGGTATCGGTGCATCCCTAATATATATTTTTATATACATTGGTAACATGGTTCACGAACGCCTCTGTTCACGAACAATTCGGTTCGCGACCAGGAAGTTCGTCAAAATTTTGCCTCCGTTCGCGAACTCTGCCTCAGGTTATGAACACGACCGCGGTCATCTTCCCCGCTCTGACACATGGTCGTGGCTTCCTGTACTCGAGATTGCAGACAGGGCTGTGGACACTTACTGTGAAGCTTTTTTGTGTGTTTTGTAGCACAGTACTGCACATTACTGCATTCAATCCAGCATGGCTCCCAAGAAAGTGCAGAGCAAGCATGGTGGGGAATATTCCCTGCACTAATGTACTGTGAAAATAGCGGTACTTTCCCTTTAAGATTATATTTATTGGCTTTCTTTAGTACTGTGGCTCATCCTGTGTATCTCTGGGGCTGCCTTTCAACCATTAATCTTACATAGTTCAATATCCTTTTTCCCTCTATGGACAGCTCTCAAATTCCGCCACACTGGAAGGCAAAGGGCAGCTGAAATTTACCTCTGGGCGATGGAGCCCTCATCACAACTGTACCCAGGTGGCCACCGCCAATGACACTGCCATCCGAGGCTGGGACATCAGAACTATGAGGTAATAAATTAACAACAAACCCAATCTTTATTAATCAAAATCTAAAGTGATCATCTATTTCTCAGCTCCAACATTGTTTCCATCATATCTGCGCTGTGCTGAGTGATTTGATTTTTTTCTTTGTGCCTATAGCAACACTATTTCATTTAGCAATAAGTGAATAAAAACATTTGCTTTTAATGAAAACGTTACTTGTTTTGTATTTGAAAACAATTTTATAATACATGTTCAATTTTTCCTGAAACAAAAAAAAGTCCAAATTGTTAATGATGAAATCATTTTGCTTAATTTAGGAAATAAATATATTGAGCTTGCAACACTTATTCTTATATTAGTTGAAATTGATGACAGTGGGATTAAGTACATATGAAAATACAATGACAGGAACATTTTATGTAAAAATGTTGCAATTTCAGTTTTGTTGACAGCATAGACTTGCTTCAGAATTGTGATGTCTGTCTAAAAACAAATCGACAGCTTGCAGTTTGGTAGCAGGATATGCTATATGAATTGATAAGTTGTAAGCAGAGGTGTAAAGTGTTTGTGGTGAGATCTCAAATGGGGATACAGAGTTTGGTGCCCTCAGATTAATCTTTATAACAGGGATAGGCAATCTTTGCACTCCATGTCTTGTGGAACTAGATACCATGCATGATCCCATGATGTCATGCATGGTTCAGGCAGCCACTGGCATGACTCCCACAGGCAGAAAAATTATGGGAGTTCTAGTTTCAACACAGCTGGATTGCCAAGGTTCCCTGCTATATAGAATTATTGTGATGTTTTCAGTCCTATATGAATGTCAAAAGGTATGCTTTTCCTCTGTAAGCTTGCTATTTTTAAACTTGTTTTTACCTCAAATTTTTAACGGCATCTCAAATATTTATCTTTTACTCTGTAGATTTTATTTCCATTCCAATTCATTGCATTGTAATGGGTGTAAATGTAATTTGTACTTGTGGTTTTCTATGCAACTTGTAGCACAGGTGCAAATTTGCCCCATAGATTTGAAATGGGAGTCCCTGAAATGTGAATGCAAACATGTCTTTTTCAAGCGTTTTTCAGGCGCTCCCATTAAAGACTATTGGGCCATATTGCACTATCGTGCCCAAAAGAAGCTTGTATAAATTTTCAATGTGTGTGGAGCTGTGAACAGGGCCAACTGATCGGAAGTCGATTAATCGATTATTGTAAAAGTTGACAACTTTTTCAATAATCGATTATAATCGATTATGTCGATTAGTTGTTGCAGCCCTAATTTACACACGACTGGTGATAAGTGACGCAATGCTCAGTTGTGCAGTTGTGAAAAGGGGCCATTAAAACGAATGTGATTCCTCTTGTTGAGTGTTGTCGCACTTAGAGCTCTTTCCCATGTGCTTTTCAGTCAGGTCAACTTTCAGTTTTGCAGGCGCACCTGATTAGAAAAACAAAAAAGCAACCAGGCGCCTTTCCTGGGGCATGTAAAACCTTCTTATTCAATAAAAGAGTAAACAAAAATATACAGGCAGTCCCCGGGTTACAAACAAGATAAGGACTGTAGGTTTGTTCTTTTTTTTTAAGCAAGTATATCTTTATTGTGGTATACAAGATACAAAACAAACAGTATTCATTGTAAGTTCAATCCAAGAGATGTACAATCTGAGGGCCATCCGACCACCCAGGCATTTATGTCATGTAAGCACAAGTACATAATATCAGGCAAGTATGTATAACAAATCATTAATAAGTACATACATCCGGATTTCGAGAGTGCATCTCTATAGTAACAATTAACAGCAAGTAAACAAGATGACATGAGAGCCAGGTAGGGTAGGGAGGGGAAAGGGTAGTTGGAGGGGGATAAGGTGTGTTTACTAACTACAGATTTACCGAAAAGAATCTGCCTCTAAGTATGTTAGTTGTAAGCATGTATGGTCAAAGAGCAAAGCAACCGGTATCGCCTGTCATCTGGGTATTTACCTAAGAGAGTATGTGAAAGGTAGGGTGGTCAATGAAGTATGGTGAAGAGGAATTGTGATGTTAATGTGGGACTCCCCCATTCAGCCCTATAGGTATGAAATGTCTCTGTTCCGTAGGTACCTATATAAAAATAGCATAGAAAATTTATAGTACATCAAGTTCGCCTAACGATCCCGCGGATTTAGCCATTAAATACCATTTGGAATATTGAACCAGCAACATCACATCTTTCAATTGAGGTGTGGTCAATTCATGCACCAAGTACTGTGTCCAGGTCTTAAAGAATCTGTCAGTCAAGTGTTGGTTGTGTTTGGTATCGATTTTCTGAATGAGCATAAGGCGGTGTAAGGTTGTTTTAACATCTGCTAGTGTGGGAGGAGTAGTTAGAAGCCAGGCTTAGGTTTGTTCTTAAGTTGAATTTGCATGTAAGTTGGAACAGGTAAATTTTCCAAATGTAATTCCAGCCCCAAATAATTTTTTGTTTTGGATAGCATAGGGAAGGGTTTAACCCCTGTAATGTTTGTTTTGCTGTGTGTGCCCCGGTTCAGAAGATTTTACCTCACTTTCTGCCCCTGTGACAATTGAATTTAGAAAATGTTGGGTTGTCGTGGAAACAAAGATTGGTGATAAAGCTTCAGTCCCTTTTTCCCATGATCACTCTTGCAGGAGTGAATTTCCCTTCCTAGGGGTAGGTTTCCTTTTACTTCTTGTTGTCGTATGTAAGTCGTATGTATGTAACTTGGGGACTGCCTGTACTCACAAGGCAGTATGTAAAAGCATCAAAATGGACTGGCAGTCCTTGATTGAATAGTTGCTGTTGATGTAACAGATGGAGAGATTCAGGAGACACTCAGAGTTCCACTGCTAGTGCTTAGCGTGTTTTCGGGAACACACCCCCTTCCGCAGAGCTTAGACAGCCTTGCTCACTATGTGCTATTTTATACTTTACAGCTAGTCAAAAAGATCACTAGGATCGAAATCCCACCAATTGTAGCCCAGCATAATGTTACTAGGGAGACAAGCAGGTATCCAATCGCAAGAATGGGCATTATCTCTGTCAGGGAAGCTGCCCCGATCAACCCACTTAGGTTAATCTATGGGCAGCCAGATCTAAACGGACGGACATGCATTTTTATCCAATTCCCTCCGGCTATGCCTGGAAAAGCAAACGGATCAGAGTTCCATTTCGCCGGACCTGATCGTCCCGGATCAGGGGCAATCTGATGTAAACAGACACAAGTCCATTTTCATTCCGATTCCCCATAGACCAACATGAGTTTGATCATTTTATTTGTTTTCCTCCATCGCAAGATGGAGAAACAGACAGGATGGACACGGATGTTACAGCAGTGAAATCTGTTCTGGTCAGCAGGGGATCCATGCACAAATCCCCTCCTGATCGGACCATGTGAAAGGGACCTTAAGAAAAGAAACTACAAAGTGCCTAGGTATGAGTGGGACCTTAGAGAGAAACATTATACTACAGCACTGTTTTTCTTAGAGTATAGTTCCACATAATATTTTATTTTGGATGTACATGATAGCTGTTGAATTTGAAGCCTTTTATAAGGTTAATCTCTGATAAAACAGTATTTCACTATGCTTGGAAATCTGACAGGCTGTAGACGGGGTGACATTAAATTGGTCACATTACCCTGAACTGGAGAGGCCAAAGCACATTCTTTTAGTTCATAAAAATAACTTTCTGAAAGAAAAGAATAAAATGCAACTCTAGAATTATAGAAAGTATGCAAAAATGAATTTGATGCACAATAATGAATTTGATGTAGTTCATAAGGTTGTACGTAGCATTGTGCATAGTTTTATCAGGCATAGTTTATTTGGGATAGAATTCCATGCAATGGCTGCTTGGCCCCTAAAAGTTAATAGTAATTAACCAAGATATGCAAAACAGCAGATGTGCATTCCAGAGGAATAGATCAGTTGTGGTGGGGGAAATCCAGTTATTTAGTTCAAATGATCTAAATTAGGGATGTTCAGATACCAGTGCCGATACTTGGCATTTTCATGAGAACTACCAGGGTTGCAGAAGTTGCAGCTGGGACCTGGCTCTGGCGCTCCACCACTGTCCTGAAATCCTTAGTCTGTATTGTTTTAGAAAAACTGTCACATGACAATAAACAAAAAAAGGTATCAGTAATTGGTATCTGTGAGACAAGTATTGGTAATTGTACTTTGGAAAAAATGGTATTGGTGCATCCCTAATATACTGTGTATATGCGTATATATATATATATATAACAAATCATACATTAACACAGGGATGCACAAATCCCAGGAGCCCCGTAGCCAATGCTCATTAAAAATGACGTCTGCCTCCTAACTTTTGAGTTTTTCTCTAGTCTAATCTTGGAGCTGGAAAGTATCTGTACTTGTACTTGTACCGAGTACGGTACATGGTATCTGAACATCCCTAATCTAAAGCCTTTGTCTGTAACAAGAAGTAGAATACCAATTCAGGGGTCAGAATTATAGGTTTTTGGGGGGCTTTAAGCCACCCTGTCCACCTGTAATTTTAATAAAATTAGGGATTATTTTACTTTTTATGACATTTGTGCCTTGTTTCTTTTTATCATAACTTCGTAACTGTCTAGGCATTTATGGGCAGGAGACAAATATCACAGTAGAGCTACCTGAACTTGTTAATGGGAATGCCTGTGGGATTACTGTGTCATTACTCATTACGCAAAGTGACACTTTGTGGACTGCTGCAGGCAAATAGAATTTCCAAACTGCCCCAAGTACATCTATGAGTCACCAGTGTCAGTGAGTATGTACCTGGATTCACTGTAGAACACCATTATCTTTTTACCACAGTTGTACTTATTCTGCCCAAATGCTACTAAGTGCATAGGCATGCTGATGGGTAAATGTAATGTGGAATACACGTATGTTTACTCCAAAATTAAAACGACATTAAAGTCAAAAAGGTTTTTAATCTATTTAAAATGCTGATTAAATAACTTAAAATGGATGTTGCTCCTTGATGTTTAAAAGTTTTATTTCTTGCAGAATCAGCTGGTGCCCTGAACACTGGCCCTGATATCTGTTTTAGGGTGGCTACTTTTCCTTGCAGGGTCCTGTGGAGCCTTCCTTGTGTGTGCTAGTAAGCTGTGTGTCTCCACAAACACACACGCACAGCTCCCCTGCTTACTGTTCCATTCTTCCTTCTCCATTCTTCCTTCTCCTTTCTCCAAGCTAGTAGATGAACATTTGATGGAGACTTTGCTGCCCTTTATGACCTTGTTCAGGGATGCTGAGCTAAAAGAGTTAGAGCCAGCTAAAACATAATGCCTGTAAGCGTTTGGGCAAAAAAATGTATGATAAACCTTGCTGGGCAATGTATACTTGTTTTAATCTGGACTCATTATTGAAAACACGTTTGAGAGTTTATTTACTACTTTAATCTAGCTCATGGCAAAACCGGCTACTTATATTTTTGGTGCGGTGCTTTGGCGGGAATCACCACGCCATAGTTCCTCACCACACTCTGCCTTATGGTAATTACAATACTATTATTCTATCTCTCTTGTATATTTCATTTTTACTCCTTTTATTTTACAGAGAAAATAGAAGGTTTGATGGTTTTATATTCCCTTGCTGGACTTCACAGTGGCCGGCATAATCAGGGGGCTTTTGTGAAGAGTGATCTTGCTATGTGAGCCAATGAAAGATAAAAGGGTGGATGATTCCACTGATTGAAATCTACCCAAAAATTAATCTCGGTTTTTGGAGGGATTTAATTTGTACAGAATGTAGACCATACAAAAACACGATGCAGCTACATGTGTAAATTACAGCTTCTCTAAGTAAATATTGCATGCATGAATTATAGATTTTAATTGTAGTTACTTTGATTGTTTACCTTTTACATTTTTCTCTAGATTTTAACATGATTTACCTAACGGATGCTCTAATTTCTGTAAATTCGATTTTGTTCTGCACTCAGAGAGAAGACACCACTCGTAGTATGCCTATTAAGAGATATTTTATTTTTTTTCTCCTCTCCTTTTAGTCCTGGTTGTGATTTTGATAAGCATTGGAGTGATGTTATACACATCCGTTGCTATAACAACTGAGGTCTGTGCAAGCTTTTTTAAGCTACAGATTATCCCCTTTGCACACAGTAATTTATCACTAAACTGAGGAGACAGATCTTAGCTATAGCGTTGGCTGCCTTAACAGTAGGGGGGGGATTTTATTTCCAGATTTGTAGGTCCCGCTTTCACCTGCAATCCCGCATCTAGGTACATTTATCTTTGCAAATGAACTGCTTAGCCACGTTTACCTTTATTTCTATACATGTCAAGCTTTAAGAAGGCCAGAAGGTGACGTGAGCAAAATTGTGTGTGTGTGCGTGTACACACTATTTTGTGGACATCTGATCATCACACCTTGTAAGACATCCCATTTCAAAACCATGGGCCTTAATATTGAGTTTCCCCCCTTTGCCGTTATAGCAGCCTTCACTCTTCTGAGAAGGCTTTCCACAACATTTTGGAGTGTGCCTCTGGGAATTTGTGCTTATTGAACCAAAAGAGCATTTGTGAGTTCAGGTACTGATGTTTGGCAAAGCGATCTGACTTACAATCAGCATTCTCGTTTAGTTGGGTCAAGTTCAGTACACTTGAGTTCCTCCACACCAAACTCATCAAACCATGACTTCATGGAGCTGACTTTGTGCATAGGGACACGGTCATGCTAGAACATGAAAGGAATTTTGGTCCATACTGAGCCGATAGCATCACAAAATTGCTGCATATTTGTTGGTGACACCTTCATACTTTTGACTCCATCAGATTCTTCCCTACCATTCACATCTTGCAGCAAAAATGTATATTTGTCAGACTAGTCATTCTTTCCCGTTCTTTATTTGCCAAGTTTTGGTGATCCTGTTCCCACCACAGCCTAATTTTCCTGTTGTTGCTTTCTAGGGAATGATCTCGACACTATGTTCTGTTGCTTGAGTGCATTCTCCTAAGTGTCCTTGTACATTCACAGATGTCCTTCTGCACACGGCTCTTGTAAAGGGTGGTTTTCTGGACTTCCCATAAGCTAGAAAAAGGCTGACCATTGACTAGGTGTATTTGCCCACAAAGCCACCAATCAGTCATTGTTGTTTTTGTCTGTTTCTCCATTCTTTGTAAGCGGTAGTGTCTGTACTATGTAAAAAAAATCCCAGCTAGTCAACAGTCTACTGCACCCGCCATGTTGGCCACCAAAACTAATTTCACGTTCAGATTTGCTATACTTCTTGTATATGTCAGCATGATGTGTTCATCAGTTGCAGTGGCATGATTCACCATTTATGTTGATAAGCCGGTGTACCTAATACATCAGCCTTTGAATAGGTGTAGCCAACATTGAGGTGCAGGGATCATGATCTACCAGGTCTATGTCTGCATGGAGTCTGTAGTGTCCCTGTGCCTGTGTGACTTTCCTCTGGGTGCTTTGGATACTTTCCTCAATCAAATAGAATTCTGCTATATCAATTGGCTTTTCTGTTAAGCAGTAGTAGGGATATGAGCATGTAAGTACTAGACATGTGCACTGCCAAAAAATTTGTTTAGTTTCGTTTTAAATTCGGATTTGTGTTATTTCGTTTTTCGGGATTCGGGTGTGAAAGTCAATTCGGACGAAATTCGGTAGCGGTAGTTCGTTCGAACGCTCGTTTCGTTTTCGTTTCGTTCATTCGTTCGTTCGTTTGCAGCAAAGTGACATTTTAGGGGGATAAATGTTTTTCTCCTTCTCTAATGTCACTTTGCTCCAACAAACGAAACGAATAAGAAACGAAAACGAAATGAACGTTCAAACGAACTACCGCTACTGAATTTCGGAAACGGAATTTCGTATTCGTTTGCATTCGTTATACCTGTAATTCGGATACATCCGAATGTCCGAAAATTCAACCGAATTTCTATTCGGAACGAAACGAATCGCACATGTCTAGTAAGTACCACTGAGACAGATCAGTGTGACTAGATCTAATGAAAACACAAAGCGCACAGCTCACCCCTATCATGCATCCCCGCAATCCACATTCGGTGCGCGGATGATTCTCTTCCGTAGTAATAAGCTCAACAACTGTGGAACCAGCACACGATAATCTTCCAAAGAAATTCAAACTTTATTCCACATGCACCTATACAAAGCACAATCACTATAGACCGTGGCTGTGCTTTGTATAGATACATGTGGAATAAAGTTTGAATTTCTTTGGAAGATTATCTTGTGCTGGTTCCACAGTTAGTGTGACTAGATCACATGGTGCCATATACAATACATTATAATAAAGAAATACATTGCACACAATGGGGAAACAAGAATATGTTTGACTCTGATGTTCAAATACCTAATATCCCTTTTCAAATTTAGCTTTATTGGTGCACTATTGGTGTGTCAAACCAGGATTTAAAAAAACATCCTTTACCCTTCCAGCACAGTGGTTTAGACGTTAGCACTTTTTCCTTGCAGCACTGGAGTCCTCAGGTCAAATTCTGGCCAGGGCACTAACAGTATGTAGTTTGCATGCTCTCCCTGTCCTTTGTTTGCGTGGGTTTCCTTTGAGTATTTTGATCTCCTCTCATCACTTCAATGACATGTTGGTAGGTAAATTGGCTCTTGTCTCAATTGGCCCTAGTATATGTATGTATGCATGTGAAATAGAGATTGTAGGCTCCTTGAGGGCCGGGGCTGATGTAAATGTACAGTATGTTAAGCACTGCATACATTGTCAGTGCTATATAAATGCCTGTAATAATAAATACACTTCAGGAGCTGCTCTCTCCACTGCCAGCAAAGCTTCATTCTGCCCTACATTTATTTGCTGCAGTTATGTCGTTCTGACATATTACTGCAGTCTTTAAACAGTACACATAACACATAAATAATTGCATATGTCCTGCCCCTGAGGAGTTTAAAATCCCAGGCCATTGTCACAGCCATACAAGTAAGCATACCTTATGGCAAATTTTGGGTGGAAGCTATTTGACTTATCTGTTTTTTTTCTGGGGTGTGGTAGAAACTGGAGTACCTGCAGAAAACCAGTGCAAGCTCAGGAGTTGCATATAAACTCGGTGCAGATAGTCCCCAGTGTTATAAACCCAGGATTGTGGTGCAAGAGAGCAAACCACTGCACCACCTTGTTGGCTAATAACGTCCTATTAGATATTATCTAATGCTTAGAATGATAACAGGGTTTGATTTACCGTAGGTTCCATTCACACCTATGTAAATGTTTTCAAGTTTTTGGCATTATTTCTCATTTTTATTGTGGTGTTGTTTATTTGTACGATTATTAATACTTCTTAGGTAAGGCTAAAGTAGAGTGCAGCGTGTTTAAAAATGCAAAACTTCATATTACATACATTTTTGTGTTACCATTATATTGTTTTTTTGTGATGCCATTATATTGTTTTTTTGTGTTACCATTATATTGTTTTTTTGTGTTACCATTATATTGTTTTTTTGTGTTACCATTATATTGTTTTTTTGTGTTACCATTATATTGTTTTTTTTGTGTTACCATTATTGTTTTTTGTGTTACCATTATATTGTTTTTTTTCCTGTTTGTCCATTCCAAGTAAAACATGCATTTTTTGCATACAGATGTAGTTGGGTTTCATGCTGAAATATTTAATTTCTACCATTTTCATCTGCCATGGAAATGAAAGCCCATGTTTGCATTACCATAGAAAAGATTCATAATTAAAATGTAGCAATGAATGAAATGAAGAAAAAAAAAAACCACATGGAATGCTTCTCTCTGGCATGTTTTCAGTACCGGCTCTTTCAGATATGTCTCTGAGTATTGTTAGCCATGGCACAGCTTCCATAAAGTGATTTGTTTATTATTTTGCAGGCAAATCTACTGCATCGACAATGCCCATGGACAGCTGGTTCGGGACCTCGACTTCAATCCCAACAAACAGTACTACTTGGCCAGTTGCGGGGATGATTGCAAAGTGAAGTTCTGGGATACCAGAAATGTTAATGAGCCAGTGAAAACACTGGAGGAACATTCTCATTGGTAGGGCTCGCAGGGCTTCTGCATCTCAGTGTTTATTTCTGTTGTATGCAAAGCAAGCTGTTATGGATATAGGCACAGATGGCAGCGCAGCCAACTCAACACGTATGTGTTTAAGCAAACAATAGACCAAACACACAACGAGACGGATTAGCAGAAGGAAGCTCGGCACGCGGACAGGTCTGCAACTGCAGCAGTAGTCATGTGCTATGTTTGTTGGAAACAATAAGGAGACAATATATTTTGATGTGCAGTATTGGAGGAACATGTTATAACAAGTGATACATTACACAGATCAAAAGGGCACGTCACCGTTACCAAATCACATAATGTTAAGTTAAAAAAAAAAGTACCTTCTTTTCTATAAATATAGTAACTGCAGTTCAAGCCTGAAACGCGTTCAGACACTCTTATACAAACGCTCACAAAAAGTCTAAATACATGACTAAAGACACTCAGCTCAAGTGTGAATGGGGCCTTACAGTGTTTTGTGGTGTTAGCATCCTTAAAGGAAAAGTTCAAAGAGAAATTCGAGGCTGCCATTGCTGACCTTCTTTTAAAAACACTAGTTGCATGGCCACCTCCGGCTTTAGTCTCTAGCCCAGAATACAGACTGAAAAGGGAGTCAGAAGTCCTTGTCTGTATAATCGTTTCAATTCGCCATCTCAGAATCCTGTTGAATCTATACAACAGCCAGGAAATTACGAGACGTTGTGCATGACATTCTCCAGTGGTTTCTTTTCATTTCAAAGTGTTTACATGGAGAAAAGTCCTAAAAATAACCCTGTTTTTGTAAATTTGTGGTAAAACCGTCTGGCGCTGGGAAAACAGATCAGCGCCTAGTTTTTATACATGTTTTCAGAATTCATTTTGTCGATATCACGTTGGCTATTTCACAAGCATCCAGCGTTTCCTTCGGCAGACATTAGCACATGGTGTATCTGTCTAGAAGGTCAAAATGGACGACACCCCAGAGCCCGGCATAGTCGAAGGTTTCTATGGAAACCGCACACAGTTCAGTGTGAGAAAAATATTTAGAACACATGTCATGGTATAGATTTTTTTTTAAATGATTACTTTGTACATCTCACTATGTCTGTGAAATCACGTTGCATAGAAGCAAATGTGTTTAGTGGCAGAGAACATTTATTTTTAGGAGGTCTTTTGACAACAAACATGGTCATTTTGTATCCTTTTGCAACTGAAGTAATACCGTCTAATGAAGTTTTATTATATCAGTGATGGATAATATGTCACCACTTTAAGTGAATAATAATATTAGCAAGAGTAATATTTTACAGCCATCTTCAGTAATGCAATCTTTAACATGTACATACAATGAGAAGTGGGGTCACTTACAATAGATCCAAGCCCAAACTCTTTTTCTTTTAGTTGGATTGCCGTCTGCGTCCCTGTTAGGAAGATGTACTGTCTCTATTTGTCCCGTTGACTATTGCTGCTGGGACTGAAAGTAAGGGAAAATCCACAATTTTAAGTTATCACCAGAACAGGAAAAAAGTGGACATTTTCCAATGGGGACAATTAATCTGGTGACTGTCTAAAACAGCCTTTCTCAACCAGGGTGCCTTCTGCCTTTCTTAGGGGTGCCTCGAAAATCACACAGCGTCATGCTTTTGCATGATGCAGGGAGGTTTTGCAGAGAGAAACTCTAAAGTGAAAGGCAGGATTCTGATGTAAAATGGAGGGCTCTGGTGTGAAGGGAGCCTCCTGATTTGAAGTGGGGGAGGGGACTTTTATGTGAAGGGGGCTCCTGATGTAAAGGGGGGACGCTCATTGAAAGGCAGGATTAGGATATAAAAAGGAGGGCTCTGCAGTAAAGGGAGGCTCCTGATTTGACGGGGGCTCCTGATGTAAAGGGGGACTCATGTGAAAGGCAGGATTATGATGTAAAATAGAGGGCTCTGCAGTAAAAGGGAGCTCCTGCTTTGAGGGGGTACTCTGATGTAAAAGGGGACTCTCATGTGAAAGGCAGGATTATGATGTAAAATAGAGGGCTCTGCAGTAAAAGGGGGCTCCTGCTTTGAGGGGGAACTCTGATACAAAGGGGGCTCCTAATATAAAGGGGAACTCTCTTTTCTGACATAAAAGGTGTGCTTCTAATTTGAAGGGAGCCTCCTAATTTGAAGGAGAGACTCTGATTTAAAAGGACTGGGCTCCTGATGCAATGGGGATCTCTGATGTGAAAGGAAGGATTCTGATGCGAAAGCTGCGACTTCAATGTGAAGAGTAGTTCCTAATTTGAGGGGGGAATCTGATGTAAAAGTAGGGGACTACTGATGTTAAGGGAAAATCTCATGTGAAAGGCAGGATTCTGATGTAGAAAGTGTGGCTCTGATGTCAAGGGAGGCTCCTGATTTGAAGGGGAGACTCTGATGTGAAAGGGGAACCCACTTGTTTTGTGTTTTTGCGTGGGGTCCCCCCTTAAAATCCTTAGCAGACCGCTACATGGGATAAGGATCTGGTATGGATTTTGGAGGGGCCGCACCTAATTTTTTATATTTTTACAATTAGATTTTATTTGGGGTGCCTCGGGATTTTGTACACATTTAAAGGGTTCCATGACTTAAAAAAGGCTGAGAAATGCTGATCTATTCAGAGTGTTCCCCCTACTTCAGAGAAATTTCCTCTCATTTGCTGTGGTGTGTCTACAGGACTCAAGGTGAAGGTAAATCTACACAGATAGCAGAAGCACGTACATGGGTTTTAAACATTACTGAAAAATTGAATTTTGGTCATTACATGTTCTTTAAAAGAGAGGCTAGCTGGTAGTGCTTAAATACGCCACATAAAAACTGATACTGCTGTGACTTGAAAAAGTCCATACTTAAAATAAATGGCAATGATTATTTTTTTAACATCTTCCTTTCCACATTATGGGGCCCATTTAGAGCCCCAAAATAGCTTTTTTCTGTATACTTGTTCTTCAGATTTTGCATTTTTGCTTTTCATGCTTTTTTCCCTTGATTTGTACCATTTCTGCATAAATTGACACCTTTAAGGACACTGTAAGTGTGTGAGATGATGCTTTCATTTTTTTCACTCTTTCGCTTCCACAGTTTTATATATTAGAGTGAGATAGTTCAGCATAAATGCAAAAACATTTACAGGGTTATTCACTAAGGGGTGAAGAGTTTGGAGAAGGCAGGAGAAGTGAACAATCTAGTGCAGGGGTGCCCATTAGGTAGATCGTGATCTATCAGAAGCTCTCAAAGCTGATGCTAGTATATCACAAAGGGTGTGAATGGTGGTTCCTTTATTCCATTTTAGTATATTTATTTAGCTGTGCACACATGATTACCTATTAGCCTGAGTCTGCTGAGCAAAGCTCCCTGACACCTTTCTGGTGGATACTGGTGGTTGAAGTGCTATGTATTACATCAAAGAATATTAGTTTACAAAGCCTGTTGCACTACACTGTTTGCAAAATACAGCAAGGTGAGCCAGGAGAGAGAGAGCAAGGAAAGACAGCCAGGAGAGAGAGGAGAGGCAGCCAGGAGAGAGAGGAGAGGCAGCCAGGAGAGAGAGAGGAGAGACAGCCAGGAGGATGAGCAAGGAGAAACAGCCAGGAGAGAGAGCGAGGGAGGGGTTTTTTTCGTTGGTAGATCTCATGTAGCTCACCTTTTGAAAAGTAGATCTTAACACAAAAATTGTGGGCACCCCTGATCCAGGACAACATAGCTGAACTGGAAATTGAGCTGAATTGGAGAATTTTTCCAAATCGGCTATGTTGACCTAGATTGTTCACTTCTCCTGCCTTCTCCAAACTCTTCACCCTTTTGTGAATAACCCTGTTAGTTTGAAATTAAAACCTGCAAAGGGAATCCCATTCATTCCTTTTGTTTCATAAATAGCCTAATGTTTCTCTTGTTAAATGACAAATCCACTTTCAAAATGACATTTGCTATTACAAAAATAACAGAATTTTAGAAATCAGTATAAAATTGGTTCAGCATCAATTAGAAACTACGAGAAATCTATGTTACAAATGGAATCCTGTTAAATGAAAGTTTCACTCTAAAAAAAAAAAGTCACTTGCTATCAGAATCATCTTTTGGCTTGAGTAATACAGTTTACTATCCATTAAAAACAGGAACACGTTTGCTGATTTAAAATATTATAGCTTCTTTTATGTACTGTTGTCAGGTGCTTTTTGCTGGAAGATTGTTTTAATGCTGACTTTGCTTCCAGGGTTTGGAGCGTCAGATACAATCACTCCCATGACCAGCTGGTCTTAACAGGCAGCAGCGACAGCAGGGTAATCCTGTCAAACATGGTCTCCATTTCATCTGAGCCATTTGGACATCTCGTTGATGAGGAGGATTTGAGCGATCAAGAAGATAGTCAGCATGAAGAAAAGTAAGTCACACACACTAACATTGGCAATGACTAAATAGCCCAGAATTTCCCAGGAGTGTTGAAGGTTTTTGTAGTCATGCCCTTAGCTAAATGGCTTAAATTAATGTAGTAGAGCCTGACGTGGTTTGGCCTAGCGTTTCATGAATTCATAGCGGGCCTCAGGTCGCACACCTTGTTTGTTATAATTTTTTACTAATTTTTCAATTTGCGGAAAAAACGTTTTTGTCTTATTGGAAACACACTTCCTGCACTCATGCTCCAGTGCTCTATGCTGAGATGGGTGAGTAACAGCCACACACCTCTTCAAAGATCCCCACATAGACTTGCATTGCCCAGGAAAAGGAGGCATGTCAGGCTAGATCTCAGCAGGGAGAGTCCTGTGTCCTGCACAGTGCTGCAGAGTACTGATGCTCTCTGTGTGGAAGCAGCGGTCTCTATGCAGTGGTATGCCACTCCTCCCTCTGATCTAGAGCTATGCAATTGGCAGTGTGCAAAAGCTTTGCAGATTGCTGGGTGCTTTCACCCGTATGGGACCCTATGCTGCAGTGAGATATCTGCTTCTACAGAGGATTTTCTACTCTCACTGGGGCTTCTGTACAAAAAAGGATAACAGTAAGACATCGATAAACTTTTCCTGTACACCACATTTATATAAAGTATTTCCCCTAAAACTTAATTTGAGCTTTAGGGCAGTCACAGATCTCCTGTACCTCTTGCAGGCAGGAGGTGCTGACTAGGCTACCCAGAAATTTAGTTTGTAGCATTGCTATCTGCTTCCAACGCTGGCCATATATATGGTTATTAAAGACAATTTCAGCCTCTTTGAACCAGCTGTTAATCACAAAGAAATCAAGCAACCTTTGTGCCAGGTCATTTCCTGTGTCCATCAAGGGTGTAAATTGTCATAAAGACCATGCAACTCCTGCGGGAGATAGAAGCAAAGCAAATCTACAGCTTCCCAGCTACACAATGGTTAATGCAGGTAGAAGAAGCATTTGACAAATACTTTTGGGTAAAATGAATTTATAAAAAGCTCAGGAAACTCTATACTATTGCTATGGAAACAATTAGTATTGTGTATTACTAGAGTTGGTGATTAGAGGCTCGCAGGCAATAGCAATGGCTTGAATATGGGGCCACATCACACATAGTTAAAGCCTTGCCTTACTATAAATCATTTTTATTTTAGTTTTCAATCCAAAGCTGGTTGAATCTGGAATTGTTGTGTCTGTAACCAACAATAAAGGCCACCTCCGGAAACAAGACCAAGAAACACTTGTAGTGCACCATCAACTCTCTACCCCAACACCACTCCCCAACCACATAAAGGTTCTCTAAGGTTAAGTGCTTGATAGATCTAGGAGATATTACTTCCCTTACCTCACCCACTCCGGCAGGCCCTGGCACTCCCCTTTTCCCTGGTGGGCTGCGAGCGGCGTCATCACTTTAAGCCTGCATTGTACATGGAGGAGGAGACTGTGACAGATGAAGGGAATGGATGGAGGGAGCCTGCTGAAGCAAGGAGTAAGTAATCTTTATACCTGCACCCTGGACTTAATAATCAGTAAACCTTTGCAGAGACCTCAAGACTCCTTGGCACTTTGTAAAGGTATTTTTTGTCTTTGTGCCTGGAGTTGGGCCATAGATTAATAGCAGCCAGTAAGCTATTTCTGCAGCAGACTGTGCCGTCTTACCATAAATGGTTGAATTAGTGGTGTCCAGTGGAACTGTACATTGATGTCTGTTCTCAGGCCTGTCCTTTGACTGGATAGAGTAGAGAACACAGCAGGGTCACATGACATCACCAGGACCAGCCTGCAAGAACCCGGGAGAGGTCTAATCACATGTTAATCCAATAGAAGACATTTTGAATAAAATAACATTTGGCATAATTATCATTTCCACATCCTATAAAGTATGACATAGTGCTCTTCATATTTACACGTTGTAAAAAGGAAAAGGGAATGAGCAGCACGAGCAATGGCAGCATTTGATCTAAAGCCGAATAAATGTGGCCTCCGATGTGAGGTAAATCCTGACATATAAGGGCTTTGATAAAGCCTTCTTTGAAAAGATTCAATCTCTGCTAATGTCAAGAGAAGCGGAGATTTAGGTAGAAGCGTAAGACACCGCGTGTGTAGAGACATGCCCATTTCACAGGGTTTTAATATCAGAACAGCTCTAAGCTACTATAAAACCTGATAACGAAAATGTTTTACAAATGTTTGCAAAGGAGGGAATAGCAGACAAAGCATTTGAAACAATTTCACACTGTATTAAACAAGTGCATTTAGCCATCATGCTAAAGCCAAAAAAGAAGTAGAGGAAGCGACATTTTATACATTTCTTTCCATTTTTTTTAGCTGCTGTTTGCTCGGTGCACACACATATACAGTCTTCACTACTTGGTCTGTAACAAAATGGCCGCTCAGCCCATTTACTTCAGATGACCTGCAGCTGCTTGGCAGATGGAATTGTGCAGCAGCTGGCACATAGAACAGGGCAAAGCAGGTCATTTGATGTAACATGCAGCTATAGCAACTAATAAATGTCTTTTTATTTCCATTTTTACCTGCGTTGTACTCAATCATAAAACCCGCTTAGATACTAATGGCTAAAACAAAATGGCTGCACAGCCATTTTACCTCACATGAACTGCTTAGCTATGGAAGATGTATTTCAGCAACAGCTGGCACAGGGAACACTACATTCTATGACATTTCATGTCAAATCTCAGTAGTTTCTCAAATCAAAATATCATTTCAGTTATTTTACAGGTTGTCTAAGGTTAGTTTTGAGTTTTCCTCCCTCCAGCTTACAGCTGTTCAATGCTAGCCTTAGAAAGTATTATTTTAACCGAAGAGTATTTGATGCTTGGAATAGACTTCCAGTAGAGGTGGTGAGTCACTCAACAGTAAGGGAATTTAAACATGGACAATCATAGATCAATAATCAGACAAAACGGTTAGAAATAAAAGAAAAGTGGTGCAGACTTGATGGACCACTTTGTCTTTTTCTGCCGTCGCTCTTCTTTGTTCAAGCTGAAGTTTAATCTGCTTATATTTTGCCTTCTCTGGTTCCTCCCTCCCCTCTTATCAACAAGCTAATGAAAGTGTTAAATAACATATTTCCATTTTTATTGCATGCCTCTTTTTAGCCCCATTTACATGATCACTGGGTCTCCATGCTTCTCTGTGCAGTGCAAGCATATCCTTGCTGGTAGGAGGGGCCAACAGTAATGCTGTGGTAATGCTCACATGTGATGCTGGACCTCCATGACTGGAAGAACCGAAATCCAATGAATGAAAGGGCTAGACCCCAGACAGCAAGGCTGAGGAGAAAAGTAAAGAAGCCACATTGTATATTTTACAAATATCCATGGGCCAAAAAAAATATATATTTTTTTGTAAATGAATAAATAAAATACAAATTGAATAAGTCCCCCCTTACACATATGTGTGACCATATAAGGTCCCCCCTTACATCCATGAGTGCCCATATAAGGTCCCCCCTTATATCCATGAGTGCCCATATAAGGTCCCCCCTTACATCCATGAGTACCCATATAAGGTCCCCCCGTACATCCAGGAATGCCATATAAGGTCCTCCAGTACATCCATGAGTGCCCATATAAGTCCCCCTTACATCCATGAGTGGCCATATAAGTCTCCCTCCGAACATCCATGAGTGCCCATATAAGTCCCCCTTACATCCATGAGTGCCTATGTAAGTCCCCCCTTATATCTAGTAATGCCCATCAGAGTCCCCCCTTACATCGGAGCAAGTCTGGAAGAAATACCTAGACTGGCGCATCCGCTAAAAGCCAAGACAGGGTTGCTGCAGGCCAGATAGAATCTTGTAGTGGGCTGGGCTTGACTAGACTAGACTAGATGATGGTGGTCATCCTCCAGCCAGAATTAATGAGGTGGGCTCTATCTGAATGGCTTGCACTGCTTCTAATGCACATTGTTAGAAGTTCACAGTGTACAGTGAAATCCGAGTAAGTCATTATTTCAGTAGTGGAGAGTAGCTGGTACAACTGTACAAGACCGGAGGGAAGGCTGAAGTTCATCTTTATGTTCAGTGATATGAAGTTTTTATAATCAAAGCAAAGCTTCCTCTGATTTTACATGGAATTCTCAACAGGCAGCAATTACCTGATTATTACAGTAGCCTGGAGCCGCCCACTGTCCTCTTATCATAATGATTCCAAATTATAACAAGCTGATGTTTTGTGGTAGGAACATATAACGGCGCTATTTTTGTATATTGTTAAAAAGAGGGAGATATAGAACATAAAGGGCCAACAATTTGTTCTGGTGTTTTCAGTAACACTTTGATTCTACAGATGGAAGAAGACTGTAGGGCTGAAAGGGGCCAAATGTTTATTCCGAGTTATAGAAATAGAGTGGGTTAGATTTGGGACTTTTGTCAGATGTGTTAACACTAGGACAGGAAGTAAGCAAAAATGTCCCCATTGGCGAAAAAAAACAAACGCTAAAGCCCTTTTTTTGGAGTTGGATAATTAATTTTCTGTTAAAATGGAACTCCTGGAGTAGGAAGCTAGAGGAAGCTTCCATATTGGAGACACAGCACTAATAACCTACAAAGGTTGTAATCCTATCCTGCTCAATTATTTATTTATTTCTTATTTTTTAATAATGCTGGCTTATCCGGACCTCCACTTTAACAGTATAGCTGGCAGAGCCTAGTAGGTTGAGTTGGTGAGGCTTAGCAAAAAGAAAAAATAGATTATATTTTTTCCGAACTCTCCCCTTTGCACCTTTTGTAGCTGTATGTCTGTTGTATGTCATCTGGAACCTGACAGCGGCACATTAAAGGGAATATGCAGTGTTTTCTTTCTAAATATGTCTTCCTATGTATTCTGTTTAGAACTAAAAGAAAATATATATATTTATTATTAATATAACATATTGCATATGAACACTTGAAATGTATTACATGTGGGCAGCAATTGACAAGCTCCAAGTTTTCTAGAGGCTAGTTTCTAACCGTTCTGTAATATAACAAAGGCACCTGTTATAATATAGCAGCATGATATCAAAATGACGTGAAAGTGAGGCAGTGTGCCAGTGCCCTGATATACTCCTCGCAGCTTTAATTTGGTCAACTAATCATTTTCGTCATAGTTTTCGTCAACAACACTTTTTCAGTGACTAAAACTAACAGGGTTATTCACAAAAGGGTGAAGAGTTTGGAGAAGGCAGGAGAAGGGAACAATCTAGGACAGGGGTAGCCAAACTCCGGCCCTCCAGCTGTGGTGAAACTACAAATCCCATGATGCATCTCTCTCCGGGAGTCATGCCTGTGGCTGTGAGAATCTTGCAATGCCTCATGGGATTTGTAGTTCCACCACAGCAGGACGGCCGGAGTTTGGCTACCCCTGATCTAGGACAGCATAGCTGAACAGGAAAGTGAGCTGAATTGGAGAATTTTTCCAAATCAGCTACTTTGGCCTAGATTGTTCACTCTTCCTGCCCTCTCCAAACCCTTCACCCTTCTGTGAATATACCTGTAAATCTACTGTACACTTAAGTTGACTAAAGTCTTCTGATATTTACTAGACTAAAACTACAACAATTCAGATGACTAAAATTTGACTAAAACTAAATCGAAATGTGCTGTCAAAATTAACACTGACTCCTCGCTTTGCTGCCTTGACTTTCCCCCGCTGTCCACCCAGAGTAAACTCCAGTGTTGTATGGTGTCAGAGCTTACACAGGTGAATGGTTTCATTGCCCCTGGCCATATGACAGTGTTTAGGCATGGCTCAGGTTAAAGCACTGTCATGCTCCCCCATACCTGGAAGAACCAATCTGGTAGAGCAACAGAATGAGGGCTCAAGGAAGTGGGGCGGCAGTAAAGCAGCACAGATCAAGGAGAATATCTTTATGGGGTGGTGGGGGGGAGGCTATTGTGTCTAATGCAGCTCCATTGACTCTCATTAGATGGGGGGGAGTGGGGGAGATATGAGTCCTGACCGCCACGATACCGAGGATCAAGTGAGTATGTCTCCTTTATTCCATCCCCCTAGACAAAATGAGCACTTAACCTTTTGCAGGTAGGGTAGCCCCGCTGCAGGGTTATGTTTTTTAAATACGGAAGTTCTTCTTTAAGAGATCAGATTACAAACACTGCAGCACATGTAAGCACGTGGGCAGCAACACATGCATGCACATTGAGTATTGCAGACGTATCATGTATTTCATTCAGCTCAAATGAACCAAAAACATTTGAACTTTTCTTGTAGCCTGTCACCTACTGCTGGATTGTTATATACAGTCTCAGCATTAAGATCTCTGTGCCTGAACTCTTGCCATTTGTTGTGGCCATGGTGAGGAGGTTTCCTTTATTTTGCACTACAGAAGTGAGATTCCAGCAGACATGGATTGAATGGGAATGCAGCCAGCCACAGACGAGAGGATTGAAGACAACCGTGAGCCATTCTAGCCCAGAACTAAAAAAACAGATTTAAGAGGACCGGCCCTTTAAAAGCAATTGGGGGCAATATGGTTTATTTTCTTTCAATGAGCAGAGATAATACGCCGCTCATTCTATGGACAGCGAACAGTTTAAAGTGACAAAGACACATTAATAATGGCTGACATGAACACAAGACAATAGAGATTTAACAGTGATCTGTGACCTCAGGACATCCCGCCAGTGCCTGTCCCCGTCCGTCATTCTCGTTCTAGGCGTATAATTATTGTGTGGGATAAATACTTGCCATCGTATTTTTTTACCTCCCTGGCTAATTGCATTTTTTGTTTTCCTCTTAGAACAAAAGAGCCACTCCAGGACAGTATAATAGCTACCTATGAAGAACATGAAGACAGCGTGTATGCCGTGGAATGGTCCTCTGCAGACCCCTGGCTTTTTGCTTCCTTAAGTTATGATGGAAGGCTGGTTATTAACCGAGTCCCAAGAGCACTCAAATATAACATACTGCTGTAATTTCTGCCTTCGTCCGATCTGAAGTGATTGCATCGCACTGATGGCTTATTTCCTGTAATTTGGAGGCTTGAGTGCTGGATATCTCCAATGTGTTATTTTTGTTTATCCTAGGCTTCGTCATAACTGACCAAATCTCGGGCCCACAGCTGACCTCTTTATATTGTTCTGTTTGGGCGGCTGTCATACTGTATTCAAATGAAAGAGATGTCAGTCTGTGTTAACGATGCAGACATCTGCGGGTGCAGTGGAAAGCTGCTCACGTTTTGTATTGGAAATGCTGTGTAGATCAGTGGTAGGCAATATTGGCACTCCAGCTGTGGTGAAACTACAAATACCATCATGCTTCTGCCTCTGGCAGTCATGCTTGCAGTGCATTAATCGACTTATTGTTCCACAGCAGCTGGAGTGCCGATGTTCCCTACAATTGGTGTGGATCGTAGCTGTGTGCGGATGGCATTAAAAAATCCTCCACCAAAACTGTGCAGTGGCAGCATGGTGGTGCAGCCATCAGCACCGTTGTCTTGCAGCTATGAGGTCATCGGTTTGATAATATCGGGTCAAGCCAGAAATATACTTAAGACGCACAAGAAGCTCATCCGGTTATTGAAGAGACCAAGTGGCTCATTTACTTACAATAGCCACCTATCATAAAACTGTATGTTGGGGAGAAGTGACTCTAATCAAAGTAGATCATGTTAGTCCCCTGAAGCTGAACCCCAGTGAAAATTGTTTTTGGTGACACAGCACCAGTCACATAAGTTGCCTCTAATATAGCATATCCCATGTCCTGCTGGCTGCCGGTTATTGTAAAATCCTCCCTCTATTGATGCCGGATTTTCCCCACAGCAGTAATCTTCCTTTGTTGCAAGGGTGATAGGCTGTGACTGTGTTGGATTGCACTGTTCACCTTCCCCTTCCTGTCCCCTTGTCCATTCACACAATCCTTGTATTATTTTCCCATAATGCAAGGCGTTCTACGAATGGAGAAGCGCGGATGAATGACAAGACCACCCCTTGCCCATTCACAGAACACCTTGCATTCTGTGTGAAATAATACTAGGTGTTCTGTGAATGGAGGAGGGTGGGTGAATGACAGGACAACCCTTTGTCCATTCACAGAGCACCTTGAGCTCTACATTAAATAATACTAGGCATTCTGTGAATGGAGAAGGGTAAATGAATGAGAGGACCACCCCTTCTCCATTCACAGAACTCCCTGCATTCTGTGAAATAATACAAGGGGACACGAAGCGAGGGCAAATTGCGCAATCTTTCACAGTCACAGCTCTTAACGCCCATGACGCCAGAAGATCACCACTGTGGGGAGTATCTGGTATCAATAGAGGAAGGATTTTTAAAGTAACCAGTAGCCAGCATTTTGTCTAAAGAGGTTCATATACATATGCAGAGCTGAGCTCTTCTTGATTTTGATATAAATTCAGACAATGTCCCCTGTAAAAGGAGTACAGTTTGGAGATATTAGTATATAGTAGAATTTGGGATCCCCAAATCCTACTATACCAACACCCTAAAGCTGGCCATACACTATGGGGATTTCAGCCAGTTCTTGACAAACTGGATGAAATTTGCACATTGGGTGCCACTGTTGTCACCCTTCTGTCTGGCAATCTTTGGCCGAATGGTGCTTGTAGCCAATGCAAGTTGCTGCCAGAATACAATGGAAAGAGCAGGGGGATTCATCTATCCAGCGGTTTAGCGTTGATGGAGGTACCTGTTTACATTTTTTTTTTGCGTTCAGCCTGCAAGTTTATTCAAAAAAATATAACAGAGTATGGCCAGCTTAAGGGGTTGTATAGTGTGTGTGATCCTTTGGGACCACTCAGTAAGACACCACTGACTATTCTTTATTAAAGTGTATGACAAGCCGTTACCTTTTCTTAGTTTTAGATTTTGGGAGAAGTAGTAGAACCCCTGTCTGGGTTTTTACTGCTATTTGGGGCTCCAGAGAGATTTTCCCTCAATTTCTGTTTTGCTTCCAATGGTTCTACTAGACAGAAATTGAGAGAAATCTGCAACAGGGACATATATAGAAATATTATTTCTGCCTGTATTGTTGGAGAGTTCTGCTAATTTCCTGTCTGGTAAAAGGTTGTTAGAAGGACAGGAAGTGAGCAGAAATCTTTGTAGCCGTGGCCCTCTCAGGGGTTTTCTCCACTCCATCCAGAACCAAAAAAAAAGTTTGGGCTCTAGGAGTGAATTTAGGATTAGCATGCAAACCGCACAAGGTAACCTCTACAGCTATGGCTTTGGGAATATGGCTTTCTACTCTGGATGTAGGGGGACATTCCTCTAAATCTCTTTATTAACTTCTTGTTTCTGAATGTGTCATCAGCTGGATTCATTGGCTGTCCAAATCTGTACTGTCATATGTATATAAGTACAATAAAAAGTTCTGATATCGGTGTATGTATCTTACAGTTCTAGCGATACATGAAAACTACAGAATAATGCAATATTTAATACAATCAATGTGGTTTGTGATCTTTAATCAGAGATGAGAACGATTGGTTATTCATAAAGTGAAATCTGAAGAAGCAGAATGCTTGTGTGAGAAGCCTGAGATAGAAGCTGAAAGTATGTCAGTCACAGTGAATACTGTAGGTAGATCATTAATGCTGCGATATGTGACCTGAGAGTCAGCAGAAGGCAGTTTAATCTGAATCTTCTCACTCTTCTCTCACTGCCATTTTGTTTTGTGCCGTAGATGATAGAGTCATACTTAGAGTTAAGGCCCACTCACACGTGTGCATTGTGAAAAACATGTTGCTACAAAACTTGGCAAAGCAATTGCCCTATGTGCAGTATGTTGCTGTATTCTTTGTCAATGGCACACCGAAACATTGTACGGTAGAACCCAATGGACTGCAGTGGACCACAATGCATATAGCGCATGTGATTTGCTGCATTAAACAGGAGTCATGCACATTTTTTCATATGTTGTGGTGCGTTGATAGACAATGCCGTAGCATTGTTAACATGTGCCATAAAGCACACTAATGCATGTTCATTATTACAATTGAACGAGCCTGTAGATACAAGTATGGCCACATTTTTCTAACACTTAATACGTCTTAAAAGAAGTTGGGTCTCAGCAAAAGCTTTAGGGTAATGCCCAGTAACCGTAACCTATAGGAAAGGTGCCATGGAGGGCCAAGTAAAGGGGTCACCTATCACTCCCTTCCACTTTTTCTTCCCTGGCAGCATATACTCACTTTTCCTTGCTCCCACACCTTTCATCCACTGGTAGCAAAGTGAAATACACGGCTATGCGTGAATGTGATTTACGTGCTTTATGATGGGCCCAGCGCTGAGTATTCCTTGAAATTGAGTTAATTCCCTTCTAATAAACTTAAAAGGGAATCAAAGCACTTAGTATACATGGCGAGTATGCCTAGGTTTCTGTGCTTCTCTGCTCAACAAGAAGGATTGAAGCTCACATATAGTGTATGAAATGTCTCTGATGTTTAGAGAGAATTGACCCTGATTGCTCAGGCTGGAGATGAGATGGTGATGACGTGCATAGTAAAGTCGCGTTGCCTTGGAATGATCCTGAGCAACCTGTGAACCAGTTTCATTAAATTTCAACTGCATCAATATACAGCATTCAAAGCACACTTTCCATGCAGAGGCAAAGCCTACTACCGCGCGTTGATCAATGCCAAGGTGCTGAGGACACAAGGGGAGTTTTGTGTAGCTCCTTCCAAATGTGTTATATACATAGATTATACATTTCATTTAAGAAAGTCATTTCTGATGTACTACAGACATTTTCTTTTCTTTCTCATTATGGAGTGGTCACAACTTCAATTGGGTTTTCCTTACTCTATGGGGCTGATATATAAATCTTCCGGCCAGCATAATGCTGAGAGACTGTCGTTTGCCTGTTACTGCCGCCACTAGAGAAGCATAGGAATTTGTTACGACCCCCCTACCCATCCCTGACCACTTTATACTCCTCTCCAGTGCTCCCCTGCCACCCATTACAATTTCACCAATGCAGTACTACGGATGGAAAAAATGTGCATGACCCTCTTTCACAACCACCGTAATACCCAGTGTCAGAGCAAGCCCCCTCTGCCATTTGACACAGTGGTAGGTCACATGCTCCCCAATACCCATACCGGGTGTATTTTTTCACTGGTAGTCACAGAAGAGCTCTGTGCAGCTCTGAAGAGGTGAGTATAAAGTGGTCAGAGTTTGGGCTTTATACAGATACCTTTGCTTTGCTCTGAATGGACAAGGTGACAGGATCTCTTTAACAGAAAGCCTTGCAGCTTAGCAGAGACGAGATGTCTATTTCCATTCCATTGCTAATGTGGATTGTGTGAATGTGTGTACTGCAGGAATCCAGTGTGCTTCAGAAGGACTGACCTTGCCAATGTGTGAAATGATGAGCTTTAGGTAGCACAGATCAATAAGCCCGGAGTACAAATTAATTTGAGAATAGACTGCTACAGACCATCTGCTGCACACTATATAAAACTATCCAAGTCTGAGCTGTGTGCATAGTAACCTTCTAAACACCGAGCAAAGACTCCTTCTCCTGAGACTCCCCGTCTACCGAGGATCTAACTGAATATCATTAATACACTTTGAGATTTAAGCGCTACTACAAATATCACATATTATTGTGTAAATTTCAATTAAAACTGCTGCCGATTAATTTAACTCTCTCCTGGGCCATACCTAATGTATGATCTAGCTCTAGCTGAAGCCAAGGCAAGCAGATAAATGCACACATACACAGAGCCGTCTTACCTGATGTATAGGGATGAGCTCAGGTCTGGACCGAACCCGATCAAAACCTGAGCTCCTCTGAAAATGGAAGGGAGCCCCTTCTGCTGCCGTCCACTCAGCTGTGGCTGGGGAATTCCCCTCCCGCAGCTTCCAATGTAAACAATGTTGCTATTACATCATTTTATATGGCCACATGGCTAAATTTAATCAATGACATTGGCCTTCTATGACCACATGGCTATATTTGGTCAGTAACATTAACCTAACAAGGCCATGTGGCCATATAAGGTCAATGGTGGCAGCACAAACACCCCACTCCTTTGTTTATGTTTAGCTGGGCGGGGAATGCCCCAGCCTACTGTTGATTGGGCGGGTGGCCCCACGTCCCTTCCGGTTTCAGAGGAGCTCAGGTTTGGACTGATTTTGCTCCCAACCTGAGCTCATCCCTTCTGACAAACAATTTGTATTTCTGTGTATCCATTCTACCGCAGT